CTGAAATTCTATCCTCACATTGGTTCATTCTGCTGCACAGGCTTTCCATGGAGTTTTTAATCTCTTGGAAATCTGTTTGTATCTGTTTTATCAATTCCATTTGTTTCTTATGTTGGGATTCCATCATGTTCCTCAGATCCTCTATTTTTTTTTATTTTTTTTTATCCTCTAGATTTATTAATCATGTCTTGCACCATGAGCAAAATCTTCGCTGTTATCTGAGTAATTATTTCTGATTTCATTTTTCCCAGATCCTCTGTTGCCAATTCAGAGGGTCCAGGTGGTTGAGTATCAGATTGTTTCATCTCGTTTCCCTTTGGGGTTGCTGTAGGTGATCTGGAAGTCTGTTTTTGAGGCTTGTTTATGTGTCTTCTCATTTCCACGGGGGAGGGGGCTGCTTCTGGCTCCAATGCAGCTCAACTTCTCTGCCCTAGGAGCTTGGGATGGCGGCAGGGGAGCTTCCTTCTGGGTGCTGGGACTGGCTGAGCTTCACTACCCTAGGAGCCTGGGATGGAGGCTGGGGAGCTTCCCTCCAGGTGCTGGGACTGGCTCACCTTCTTGGCCCTAGGAGCCTGGGATGGCAGCAGGGGAGCTTTCTTCCAGGTGCTGGGACCGGCTGAGCTTCACTACCCTAGGAGCCTGGGATGGAGGCAGGGAGCTTCCTTCCGGGTGCTGGGACTGGCTGAGCTTCACTGCCCTAGAAGCCTGGGATGGAGGCTGGGGAGCTTCCCTCCGGGTGCTGGGACTGGCTCACCTTCTTGGCCCTAGGAGCCTGGGATGGCAGCGGGGGAGCTTCCTTCTGGGTCCTTTGAGGTATTCCTTGAATGACCACAATAAGCAGAATCTACCTGCTGATCCACTGTGGCCATATAAGTAAAAATTATATCTATGTAGTTTTAAGCCACTGATATTTTTGGGTTGTTTGTTACTGAAGCCTAACCTAGCCTGCACTGACTAATATACTGGCCACAATAAGCAGATGAGTAGAGAAATTCAATGGTGAATGGTCATCTTCCACTATGAAATTCAGACTTTTTACTTTCCCAGAAAACAGGCTATAGTGCTAAATAACTGAGCATGTCTTCACTCTATCCCTCGAAATAGTAAGCTAAGACTAAAGCTTTTTCACTTTGGAAATAGAACATGTTAAGGTCTTCTAAGCACACAATAGCCAGCTCACAGGTGCAGGTATTTCCAAGTCTGAGCACCAAATAACCCAAGGCATTTGAGTGTCAAGACTATCAAAGGCTGTAGACCTGTGATGGCAAACTCAAGTACCTATAGGACCAGCCAGGACATGTAAGTAAAGGTTGCTTAATTTTCCTGGTGTAACTTTACTATAATAAACTCAGCTTCTGAGTTGGGGAAATATCAAAAAGTTCTGAGGACATAGAAAACAGGCTAGAATAAACTAGAATGTGTGACCAGAGTAAAAGAGGGAGCCACTATTCTGGCTAGTGACTGCCGCACTGGAATGTGGTCTTGTACGGCTGGAGCTTCTGTACCCTGCTGATGAAGTTATTTAAAGCTTAGCAACCATCAGGAGTCTCTGGCGTGAGGAGGTGAGGGAGGACAAGAATGAAATACAGGACTATTATAATTAATCTTCTGATTCTACTTCATAATGGCTGGGTTAAGGATTTAGTTGTAGAGTTTAAGTTTGTTATATTCAGACACATTGGCCCTGAGATGAACTGAGGCCTGAAATGCAAGAACGTAACAGTTGAGACAGATAACAGGATGTAGGCTTAATTTAAGGCGCTACTATAACAGGTCAGTAGAAAATGGGAATTAGATTATTCAGAGGGAACTAAGACCTCTAAAAATAACTTTTTGAAAGTATACTGTTGTTAGATATCAAGAAATATGACCTAAGCCATTGTATAATACCTATACATCCTTGTCTACACAGCAGTGTTACAGTGTATTGTGATTCTGTTTATTTAGAAAAGGAAGCTTGAAATTCTGTAATGCCAAATTTGAACTGGAGACAGGGCAGCCAGAGGGAGAGATCCAGTGAGCTGAAGGCATGGGCAATGCACAGTCACTGATGGACTTTTGCAAACCCCAGGTGCAATACTGAAGGACTTGGTGGCATGTGATCTCGTGATTATTGCTTCTGCATCATTTTACAGGAGGCCACAGGCTTGGAGTGTAATCTGGAGATGAAAAATCATCAAATAAAAGTTTGAACATCAGACAAGTATTATTGAAACACTCTGGCTCAGTAAAGAGATTCAAGCAACTAGGCAATTAAATTAGCCAACAAAATCAATTCAATGATGAGAAGCTCAAGAAAGTGAGTTAGGTGATGGACATAATACAACCATCTGTTCATTTTTAATGTTTAAGAATATACATATTTTGTCTAGGACATCCTACTTTTTAAGGATTTGAGTTTTAAACTTCTTATGGCAAGGACAATAAGGCAAATGACTTATATTTTTATATTTTGATAGTTAAAATTCTATGATAACAAAATATATTATTCTTACAAATTATGAAACAGTAAGTTACATAATGGAATAATATATATTACAAATTACCTTTATGAACAATTTTAGTAAGGCAAGTTTTCTAAAATAGTTTTAAGTGAACAGGATATAAATTTTATATTCCTATGACTATATTTTTAGGAGTATATAGTCAAAGTAAATAGGCTAAGAGAAATTATTACCAAGTGTTACATGACTGGTGGCATGTTGAGACTTTTTTCTTTAAGCTCTTGTATATTTCTAATTTTCTAGAATAAAAAAAAATCTTCACAAATGTAATGAAAGTTAAAATTATAGATATCTCAAGCTAAATAAGAATAAAGTAAAAAAGAAAAAGATGATCAACCATTACAGATGAATCTAAATTCCCCTTTGACCATTTGACCATTATCTCTGTCTCAGCCTCTCTCTTCTCAGAGTTAATTGTTGTTAGAAGTTTAGTGAGACATTCTCATACTTTTCTTGTTTTTTTTTTTTGGAAGCTGTTTCTATGTCCTTCACAGCAATGGTTACTCATAGTACTTGGAGAAATTTGCTGATTAAGATTTTCTTGTAATCAAGAAAGATCCTTAAGCAATATATAAGCAAGGCAAACCCAGTGGCAAGTGAGATGAACACACTGAGACCCAATGGGGGTGGCAGGATGGTCTAATAATAAGTACCACAAACCTTGAGCTCTCTCTCCCCTTCTGCTCCCTACCTGGCTGAATCAGGTGTCCTGGGTCTGGTGGAACTAGGCTGGGAGCAAGACTAAGACTGGGAATTGTGCTGTGGTCTCCTCTAGAGTTGCCTTTGTCTTGTGCTCACTGCCAATTCTCTGAAGAGATGTCACATGGAAAATTGCAATTCAATAAGTGGATGGATTTATTAATTCACTCAGTGAATGAATGTATTTCCATTGAGTATCTATTATTTTCTAATACTGTATTAGACCCTGGTGACAATATGACCAACAACATAGAAATAGCCCATGCTCTGGGGAGCTCACCATCAGTGGATTAGATGGACATTAGTCAAATAGGTTAATCATGAAAATTTATAAGACATAGTGGATTGGGCTTTGGAAGGATTTCTTGAAGATGTGATATTTAAACAAGTGTCTGAGACATAAGAAATCAATATGTAATATGTTGGCAATAGGGGACTCACCCCCAAAGGTGTTATAAATAGAAAGAAACACATCTTAAAAGATGGAAATTTTCAGTAGCTATGTACATGAGTTAGAGATAAATGGGTTCTGTTTTATAGTGATGAAGTATTCAGGGCCCTGCACTCAGAGAGGATAAGCTTCGTTTATCCTCTATTGTTGCCATCTTGAAATTCTTAATAGTCTTTGAGCAAAGAGTTGCACTCTTAGTATATATCAGACCCCTCAAATTACATAGCCAGTCCTGGAGGTGGAAGTTTGTTCTTAATCCCACTTATAACATTAGTCATGGGAGAGTTTTAAGGCAAGGAGTGATATAAACCTCAATTCCTAAAGGACCACTGTGGTTGTAATGTGAAGATTAGAAAAATGGCTCTGGTTATCAGCCTCAAGGAACTCAGAGTATGACTGGCAATGCCACACCAAGCCAGAGTTACTAAAAGTAACACATCATAGAAATAAATTGAAGAGGACTCTGGGAAATTAGGTGGGGGTGTGTATGGTCATCTAACAGTCTCCTGTTTGAGATAAACTATAATTTCTTACACGTTTCCTCCTTCTTTTCTCTGATCTAATTATCACTCATTTCCTTTCGCTTTGTCAATGCAGGGCTCAATTTCTTAAATTGATTAAATTTAAAAATCTGAAAGCCACCCCTTCCCATTAGTAGCCTCATAGTTTTTGGTATTGCCTCATATCTTTGATTTTATATTAGAGGTCCCTGTATAAGGAAGGGCTACTTCTTCCTGGCACCTTTTTCCTCTCCCTGTCTATTATTCCCTGAGCCCACATAATTAGGGTGAGATGCTTCAGTTATTTGTCTAAATCCCCACTAATCTAATTTTATAGGCACACTGGAGTGCATCCCAGAGATGCTTTGCTGTCTCCTCCACTTAGTGTAGCTTTATTTTTCTTGTCTCTGTAACTACTGTTCTACTCATTTCCTATAAATACTATTTATGACATCATTGGCAGCCATCTCACCCTTCCTATCTCAGTGCTATGCAATATAATTTTATTTAATTATGGAAATGTTCTATATCTTCTCTGTCCAAAATGGTACCTACAAGCCACTAGTAGCTACTGAGCACTGACCAGAGTTCTGAGTGCAGACTGGAGGCACTAAAGGTCAGCAAAGATATAGAATTGTTCAGTGTCATAGGGCCAGAGACTGCTGGTTCCTAGTGATCTTTTCCCTATACTATGAATGGATAGTCTTATACAAACATGAATTTGTAAAGTTTTATAGAACACCTACTAAATGCAGTGTTAGGATGATACCAAGAAAGAAAAGGCTTCATTGAGCTAAAAATGGATGAGCTATAAAGAAAGAAGAATCATTTTGTTGACCTCCAAGAGCCAAGAAGAAAGAAAGGAGGGTGCATTTTTTGACCTTCAAGAGCACCAAAGAAGGAAAGGAGGGTCTTTCTGCTCACATTGTGAAGTCCAGAGGAACTAACACTCCTGGTATACAGCATGAATCATGCTCCACTCTGTACTTGATGAGCAAGCAGGGCTCTTGATCACTGGAGGGTCTCTAGCATCTGACACACACTGACTACGTGTGGTAAATCCCATCTGTGGCACTTCATGGTCTTTGGGTTTAGTGAGAACGAGTCTAAGTAACTTGCCTAAGCCCACACAACTACTAAGAAACAAAGTCTAGACTAAAATCCTGTTCCTTTTGTCCTGAGTATTAATTAGGTTTGCAGAGGGTACTGATGATATAGACACAATGAGCAGTGACTCTGGTGGTCTTTTACCAAGTTAAGACATTTGGACTTCATTCAGTTGGCAAAAGGAAGCTACATAAGCTTTTATTTATTGTTTGTTTGTTTGTTTGTTTTTTGAGACAGGGCCTGGCTATGTAGTTTTTGGCTGGTCTTGAACTCATTGTGCTCTCCAAGCTGGACTTGAACTTGTGGTGATCCTCTTGCCTCAGACTCCCCAGTACTGGGATTACAATAGATAAACTTTTAATAAATTTCTCAGTGAAAGCTACTTAGGAAATAAGAAGAAAGAAGAACAAGCTAGCAGTGATTTTTAGAGTGGACGGGGGAGGGCTTGAAAGAAACCAAACAGAAGTTTTGTAACATGGGGACTCCTATCTCTAAACAGGCAGAAAATGTCTCAGAGATGCTGGGGACAAGGATGATATTGCAATGTCAAGGAGAGGAGTTGTTCTGGGAGTCCACAGAACAATTCATTTTAGACTGGAAAGATGTGAACTGACAACAGACCAAGCTGTGAAAATGGTCATCAGGTGCTTGATGAATACGGGTCATGTAAATTAATACACTGCATGCTCCTCAGATTTGGGGGCTAGATACTGTGTCACATTTGGAAGAGATATGTGTACATAAACCATACACTCAGGAAGATTAAGTAGGTGGCAGGGAGAGGCAGAGAATTTGCCACCAGAATAGTCAGAGAAAGTCCAGGCAGGGTAGTAGAGGGAGGGAATGGTGGCAGAGTGTCTCATTATATGAGTGGTTGCAGGAGGTTGAAGATCAGAAATAGAACTGAAGGACACAAAGGTGATCACTGATAACTTTTAATAGTTCTCTTTGGGAAATGCAGCCTAGCCAGATAACACAGGAATTTAAGGGAAAGAGAATTAAGGGAAAGGGAATATAACCATGTGCAACAAATTGGCTGGCAGTGAGGAAAGAGAGAAAAGCAATGAGCAGAAAAATACAAAGCACATCAATCACATGAGAGAAGTCAGTGTGTGTTTCTTTAAGAGAAAACTTATTCACATCTATAAGCATAGTTAGGAACTTAATACATTAGAAGGATCATACTTGAATGTATAACATTCTACTTATAGATGAAATATTTGATAATGATGTTAGTCATTCTTAAGATAAGACTTCTCAAAAAAAGATAAGACTTCTCAAAACAAGATGTTTCTCTCATTATCCTTTAAATTTTTTTCCCACCTTTCTTATTTGATTATTCCAGAAGCAGTATTTTAACTATGGTAATTAAAACTGGGATGAAATGGAATGAAATGAATGAAATGGAAAGCCCAAAAATATTCACAGATATGTCAGTAGAGCCAATAAAATTAATAATGCAGAACAGTGGGAGCAAAGATGGGTTGTACTATAATTGCTTATTTGGAGCAGGGGGAGAAATTTAGATTGTAATTTCATGTGATCGTTAATACAAACTCCATACAACTATAGATTTTAAAAAGCAGTGAAAATACTCAAAGAAAATATAGACAAATTTAATAATAATTTGACCACAAAAAATAATTTGACCATATAAAAAGCATAAAATCTTAACTCACAGGTACAGACCATTGAGACTAGAAGCAAATCCTAGGCAACTCTGTCAGAAATCATCGATGGAGAAGTGGTTAGAAATCTTCCATAGCCTCTGCATCCACCTAAATATTCCGAAGTACAATAAGAGTGTACTAAACTCAAAGGCTCAGAAGTGAAAGTGAATTGTCCCTAATTACTCTTGATCAAAAGCTGTGGAACCTTCCCAATTATGTGACATCATTTGGTTACCATTGTGAAGTATCGTCTGCCCAATAAAATATCGCCTCTTCCTCTAGAAATTAAAGAAAATCATCAAATATTGGGAAGATGTTGAATTCTTAGTGATTAATTTATACTCAGTGTCCATTTCTATAAGGGTTTCAGAAACTGCCAAATATTTAACTGAAATGGTCCAAACAATGCATGGGCAAATACCTTGACAGTGCTAACATGGTCATAATCAACTTTATGAGTGTCATGTAATAAAGCTTGAAAAGTAAAACACATTTTAAATACTCACTTGGGTCACTTTTATCCTATACAGTCTTGTGTGGAAAATAAACTCTTTTACTCCCTGTGATTACCCTTACATTTCCTGCTGAGAAGACATGTACCAAATGGATATCACTTAATTTTAATTTCCAGTATTTTCTTTATTACATCAAAACTGGTATAATGCTGAACACCAAATAGTGAGAAGAGTGATCTTCAGGAGCTACTTTTATTTTTGAGGCACTGCCCTTCTCTAATGCCTACTTTCCTAGTTTCCATGGACCCTGACTCCAACACACATTTTCCAGTCCTTCCCATGACTCATACGATAATTAACTAAAATGAACACTTCTTCTCCTGTAATATGTTTCCAACAGAAAAATGTCACCAGCCACTTTTTCCTTGAATATGCATCACTCTTATTCCAAGAATAAATCTAAAAGTTGCTATGTCAGTGGCTGATATGGTTTAAATGTGTTGCCCAAAGTTCATGTGCTGGAAACTTAATCCTCAATGCAGCAATGTTGAGAGGTGACATCTCTGAGAAGTGAGTAGGTCATGAGAGCTTTGCCCCCATAAATGGATTAATGTCACTGTGGAGGAGTGGGTTTGTTATAAGGGCAAATTCCACCCTCTGTTACACTGTTCCTTGCCTTTTGCCACCTGCCATCAAATGATGGAGCAAGACGACCCTCACCAGCATCATGTTCTTCAACTTTCTAACTTCCAATATTATGAACCACATATATTTTTATCCAGGTATGCATTTTATATGCTAATAATACTGTCATCCCTCAACAGATGTCCTGTGATTAAAGAACTCTATCAGTCAGAGTATCATGCAGGATTGTGCTGCAGTAACAAAAACCCCCCCAAATCTTATTGTACAAATTTCATGTCCTGAGCAGTTCAGTTGAAAGCTTGCTGAATGTCTTCTGCACTGTGGGATCCATCCGAGAGGGTGCAACAGCCTTTATTGGAACAATGCCAAATTGTCATGGCAGCAGGGGAAGGGAGAGCATAAAGAACCACACACTGGTTCTTCCACTTTTATTGCCTGGTGGAAGCAGTCACATGGCCAAGCTCAACCTCACAGGTAGCAGAGTCATGCAATCCTATCATGCACGTGGAGGGTAAGAAGCTGGAAACAGGAAGAGAACAGTGGCAAGTGACTGTCAAAGTAAGCTTGTTTCCCTTATGAACACAAATGTCAAAAAACTATAAAATTCATTTTACAAACTTTGGGTGAATATTTTGACCAAAACTGGTTCATGCTTTGGAGAAGACCTTGAATGTTAACTATGTATTTCAGTCTCCTTAGATACAAATAACTGGATATAACAAATATCTTGTGCCTTTTCCAGGAGGAAAATAAACCTCAGTGGGTTTATTTAAAAGGTAATTGTTGGAAAGTGATGTAAAAAATCTTCACATCTTTATTTAATACATTTTCTAAACAGACAAATCATTGCAGAGTAGAAGAAGATGTCTTGACCCAATGAAATTTAATTTAAAAATTCATTGTCAAAGTTCTCATTCAACTCTTCAGTTGGAGTTGTTTGTAGGAAATATACTTGGCTATCACTTTCTTTAGCACATGCAGTTTCATGGCCTATATTTGAACTGGACTAGACTTTTCTATTTATATTTATGATGCTATTTTGAGCTCTAATATTTATATTACTATTTTCATTACACTGGTATTCTTTAACAAACCAAGTTTGAGTTACTGATTCTTTTTTGTGAACTAGGAATTTAACACAACAGAATAGTAAGAATAAAATAGAAAATTTAAACAAAAAGAATAATTTGCAAAGAAAATAAAACTGAGTGTAAAATGAATTAAGGCAGACTTTCTTGTACAGGATGGATATATTTAATTAGAATGGACTTTAAAACATTATCCATTTTCTATAGTCTTCAACATAAAATGTTTTCCCATTGAGTGAGTGAGTCAGGAAGATTATTTACCAGGAAATTAAGTTTAGAATATCCCTGAGTAAAGTATTTAAAATGTAGGTAGCTCATGTACTCAGAAAATCCTATATTTAGGTGACTCATGAAAACAATATAAGTAGAATTCTGTATTCCCAGAGACAGACAAAGCCTAAAACCTTTTCTCTTTGATTCTCAGAAAGTGAGAAACAATCTGGAAAGGTGAAACTTTGAAATTTCCAGAGAATTTGATTTTTTTCCTCTATGCTATCAGACAATGTCCCTCTCAATGCATTCAACCAGGCTCTCTTCCTCCTTTTTACAAGAGCTGTCTCAATTATTTAATTGACTTCTTTTCTCCCTTCTAATTTCTAATCAATTTCTACAACATAAATGGAGGCTCGAGGGCCATTCTCTCTCCTTCTCCTACCAGAGTACATACACAAGTTACAACGAGCGACAGAGAAACACTTTTACTTTCACACCTCCTTTTCTGTGAATTGCTGGGTAGGCCAGTTAAGAGCCCCAGTATATCAATACAAATCTCAGGAAATATCTGGATCCTAGAAGAATTCTCAGGAGAAGGACAGGACAGCATGTCTTCCTTTCTGATCCCTACCCCAGATTTGAAATCTTTAGGATCATATTCTTAGGTTCCAATAAAGAGAAGGAGAAAGAACGGCCCTCAGAAGGACTCCTGACTCAGTTTGCTGTTCTCCCACAGGATGGTGGGTAATTGGTCTGTTTTAGGAAGCCACTGATTAACATCAGAAACAGTATGTGGCACATGCCCACTGGCTGTCTATTAGCAGACACATATATTTCAAGTTTCAAAGAATCAGATAATACTTGTTCCTCTGCAAATAAGGACGCTGGAAAGGTACAGAGCAAGAGAGGCTGAATCTGTTCTTCTCAACACTCAGTGTAAGGGAGGAGCAAAATGCATTCTTTTGTGGGCCCAGCTATGAAAAAGTAAAGTGTTCCTTTCAGTAGACATTGGTGTCAATTGATTCAGGAGATAGTGGTAGCAATGAGAAGATAAATGTGGTGATAAGGCTCATGTAGGAGAAGCAGCAACTCCACAGATACCACCAACAACAAAAAACTAGGTAACTAGAAACTTTTTTTATATCAAAAGACAATCAACAGAGTGAAAAGTCAAACCGTAGGATGGGAGAAAATATTTGCAGATTATATTTCTGATGAGGGTCTACTATCTAGAACCTATAAAGAACTCCTACAACTCAACAACACCAAATGGTATCACACAAACAACTCAATTAAGAAATGGTCAAATGACTTAAATAGACATATCTCTGAACATGCACAGATGGCTAATAAACACATGAAAAGATGCTTGACATTCCTAATGATTGGGGAAATGTAAATCAAAATCATGAGATACAACCTTATATCCATTATAATCACGACTATCAAAAACAAACAAAATAACAAGTGTTGGTGAGTATATGCAGAAATTGGAGTGATTGTTCACTGCTGGCAGGAAAGTAAGATGGTAAAGTTTCTATGGAAAACATCATCACAGCTCCTTAAAAATTAAAAATAATCAAATGATCTAACTATTCCACTTCTTAGATGGATATATAGATAAAATAGATATAATAATTGAGCTATAGATAAAATAATTGAGAGAAGAGACTTGAAAATATATTTGCACATTTATGTTCCTAGAAGCATTTTCATGATAGTTAAAATGTGTAAGCAACCCATGAGTTCATTGATGTAAGAATGTATAAATGAAATATAATGTATCCATACAATAGAATATTACTCATCCTTAAAAAGGAAGGAAATTCTGACACATGCTACTGCAACAAGAATGAGCCCTTGAGGCCATTATGCTTAGGAAAATAAACCAGTTACAAAAAGACACATATTCTATGATTCTGCTTATCTGTGGGACTTAGCATAGCCAAACCCATAGAGATAGAAAGTGGAATGGTGGTTGTCCAGGGGTAGGGGAAAGGGAATATGGAAAATTTGCCTTGCATGGGTTGAGTTTCACTTTTGTACTATAAAAAATATTCTGGGGATGGATCATAGTGATGGTTACGTATCAGTGTGAATGTACTTAATAGCATGGAAATGTACACTTAAACATGGTAAAGATGGTTAATTTTATATCATACACATTTAGCACAATTAATATGAATGAATTAATTAATTGAAAGAAGGGACAGCAACTCCATTAAATTAAGCCAAGTAGTGTACTAGGTATTTTATAGTGGTGTGAAGAGGCTACTGGGCTGCTCTTGTGGTTATGGGGTCATGGAAGGGATTTCATGGAAGACCATGTAGGATAAGTGACATTTAAGAAAGGTGACATAATTGGTATCAGGACAGGAGGGAGAGAGCGTGAGCAAGTACAAGTGCAAGCCTAAGTACATGAGTGTAAATCCTTATTTTTTTAATCAGTTAAGCCTAATTTAGAATGTGGAATTTGAAGGAGGCACAGATGAACAGCACAAATTATGATAGAAAGGATAAAAAATTATTTGAGTAAAAATATAAAAAAGTGAGGAACTGCTGGTTAGGACTTCAACAAATGAATTTTGAAGTGACACAATTCCACCTGTAACACACTCTTACACAGAACAAAGTGGCAGTGCCCTGGGAATTAATGTATTCTCCTTAGGGAAGGAAAATTCGTGAGAAAAATGGCTGCTTAAAATCTGGCCTCTCCTGGTCTACTAAAAGAGTCTTTCCTTCCAGGTTAGCCTTGGAGTTTTTAATGAGTTTTCTAGTTGCCTGGAATGAAGGGCTCAGGGAAGGAAGTGTGGAGAACATGAATGAGAATAATACTAGGGCC